TCTATAGCAACGTTTCGTTAAGGAACCGAACCTTCTCAAATATGTTAAAAGAGCCAAATCCAATTTAAAATTATTGTAAATAACGAAATAGACCAAAATTCAACATCAGTATGTGTATTAGTTTTTGGTTTATTGTAAATTTTAACGTTTTATCAATTTACATTATACTAATGGTGCAAGAAGATATTTGGTGGCAGTTGATTTTGAAGGACTAATATTTTTAAAAAAAAAAAGAGATATTAACGTGAATTTTTATGCGACTGGTTGTTTTAGCGGTAATATGCATATATTAGGTATCTAAAATTTCTGAGAGAAGCAACATTTGAAGTTGAATTTTTTTCTAATCTATGGTAATGTTCTACTCTATTTCTCGGCTCATGCAAATTCTATGTAATATACGGCTATAAAGAGAAAGCAATCCGAAATAATTAATAATAAAAAAAAAAAACGGAAAAATGAGTGGTATACAAAAAAAACTTTTCCAGAGTAGGCTTGAAAATACGTTAAAGTCCTTCAAAAAGGTTCTAAAACCAACCAAAACAAAATTATTTAAAATATGTATATATACCTAATTTTCTGTTGGTATTTATAAATTTTTTTATTTAATTTGTGGAACAAACAAAATAGACACTTCTATAAAGTTAAATGATCTGTGATATGGGCCGGCCTAATTTGATGTCTTTACAGCAGAAGTAACTTGAACTGGTGGCAACACTGCTGATTTCGAATTGGGTTCACACAGTCGCATAAAGGTGCGTAAACATCTCAGCACGAACACGTTCGAGATGAAATCCATGTCTCCTTTGTATCGTGGAGAACTCTGAACACAGTCGGCCGAGGCGATAAACTTAGCAGTATCTACCTTGTACCGCATTTTTTTTCATTTTATATTCACTTAATAGATGACTGCTGATGACGATTATTGATAAAATGATGCAAACGAGGCAAGTACGAACAAATGTCGTCTACCTCTTTGATGTACTGACTCAAGATGTTGGTACAAACAGAGGTAGTTTGCCGCACATCGGTTACTCGTCTACAGTAGATGTATTCGTTCTGGCTCGCCTTCCCTCGAACGTGTTCAGATGTAAACGCACCTTTAGAAACATATTAAGGGGCGTATACATTTAGGCACGAACACGTTCTAGAAAAGGCGAGGCGAAACACTTGCCTCGTTTGTATCCTGGAGAACTGTGATCGAAGCCGGCCGAGGCAACGAACTCAATAACATCCGTCTGCGTGCCGCATTTTATCTCATTTTATTTCATTTAATAAATAATTGCTAATAAAATGACACAGTCGAGGTAAGCATGCGCAAATGCCATTCACATCAAATTAAAGTCTCTTTAAAGTACTGATTCGAAACAGATGGAGTCTGTATGGGGTTGGTTCAGATCGAGGCGGTTTACTGACCCTCTGTTGTCCGGTCACAGTAGACGTATTTTTTTTCTGCCTTGTCTTGCCTCGAACGTGTTCGTGCTTAGGTGTATACGTACCTTTAGAGACATATACCTATTTATTCACATTCACTATCTGTTTATTGAGAGATTGAGTTCATGTCATTGACATGTATTAAATAATCTACTTATTACGAGCACATTGAACTCATTAGTGCTGCAGAAAAGTGGATTTTAAACAGTGGACTTCCGAAAGGAAATGATACTCGTGCTATTATGACATTTTATAATAAAAAGAAAATGCTCTAGGCATCTATAATAGAGAATGAAATTTAAAACCTTCAATGCATAGCTAAGGGCCGCCGATTACATGTTATTTTGGAATTATTGGAATCCCATAGGAATAGTGAGACCTCTGGCGGGGAATGAGCCACACTGCTTTAAAGGGGAGTTTTATATGTTGACGAAAGAATACGAAATGTACCAAATTTACAAACAGCTCCAAACAAACTTGAATATTAAAATGTTGCTAACAACTTCCATCATTTAACTGTTTCGAAATCCTCAATGGCGCCACAATTTGCCACGTTTTACAGCAAAAACTTGCATATTTAATTATTTTTATATTTATTTTGTTTCTCTTCTAAAGTCGAGCGACAAGTAAGGTGAACGCAAGCCAAAGCGATATGCGTACCCATAGTGTTATAACGACAGAACATAAACCAGCGGGGTGGGTAAAGAGATGAGGCAGCAGGTGCCTAGATTCTATTGGATATCTGTACTGCGCACGCGCAGTACGTCAATTGCGGTATAACTTGGCGACTAGCTAACGATTACTGAAGCAGAGAAGCAGCTGATGATTAAGTTCCAACCCTATAAGCCCATATGTCGTTTAATAATTAGTCAAAATGCAATTCCTCAATAAACAGATACGTGATAAGTATTAGAATACAGTATTTTTTTAATCCATGATGAACATTTTTACAAAAAAATTATAGTCCGGTTAATTAATATACCGCTTAGTAAATTTTGTTGTTGTTATTATTTATTAATTATAGTAGTATTTTATTTATAATA